ACGTAAACAAAATAATCACTCATTGCCCTTGCTTACCAGCTTATTGTTGTCTAAAGACTTGTGGGTGTGAGAATAATTACCTAAATTGGGCATATGGTCGTAGGACGGGATGAGTTTGAGGCCCCCACATATACCATATATTAGGTCGGAAACGGTCTAGATAGGGAGTTATAAAGGCTTAAAGATCGGCCCGTGTGTATCTTCGGACGAGTTTCACGGGCATTGTAGAGGCTGCACCGATCGCAAGGGAACCCATGTAGGGAGTTCAAACAACACGCATGTCCCATAGCGACAGTGAAAGACAGTTCTGTTCAGTTCTGGCTTAAAGTAGTCAACTCTTTGTGCAATTGCAATGACTGAAATCTCGTCCGAATACCCCTTCCACGTTATTTCCGTCATGGTAATCTCGTCCAGCCACTATTTCCCCTTTTTTTGAGGAGCCATATTTTTCTCGGAATCGGCTGATTCTCTCGCTTCCTTCACTACTGATGAGCTATTTCCAATCCGTACTTCCACTTTTCGGATAAAAACGGTTCCCTCAAAATTATGCGAACTGTGCTTTTAAGACCGTCCCTTCGTATTTCCCATGGATGGGTCTTTGTAAGTTTATTAACATTCATCGCTTTAACTCGTTTCAGCAATATGGTATGTGACTTGTAGGACGAAAACCAAACAATGTCTGCCTTATTCGTAGACCTCCCTCCGATGAATGAATGGTGCAAAAATTTTGTTAGCTTGCCCTTCACCGTTCTTTCGGTGCTGTTCTGAATGATAGGCATGGCTTCCTTTTGTGAGTTTTCGTCATTTTTCTGGATATAAAATAAAGCGAACAGTTAGTTCTAGCCATTTAATAGGAACTCGTTTGTCATCGAACAAGTTTGACGATCCGTAACTCTCCTCAATTCGATTAGATGATTGCCTATCTTGACTTACTAGCTACATCAAAGTGAACTAGAGCCATGAAATCTTTATCAAATACAAGCACCGTCAGAAATTTACCGGAATAATTAATATTTGCAGGAAACACATAAAAACATACACACTTCAAAATGTACACACAGTGAGCTTCATAAGTTTGCTAATAGTGGCGCGGTCTGAAAGCAAGAATACTTCGGAAAAGGTTAATGACAAGAAAAAACGCTGAAATCTTACCCTCCAGGTGGTAGAATGAAAGTGGGAGAGTAGCTGAGTTGCGATGAAGTTGCCAGAGATCCTGAAACTAAAAGATCATTACCATCCACAGCTTTAAACTACACCGAAGTCATACCAAAGTATACGGGGTGGGGCGATATCACTACTGCACCTATAGGTTTTTAATTTTTTATCTTTCTCGTTCTTCAGGATTTTCCCGTTTCACTCTCTTTTGATATGTTGCTTGAGAGCAGTGCAAAGGCTATTTTGTGACCGATCACACAATGGCCTGCACTTTCAATACCATCTCTTATACTACTATTATTTTTTTATACCACCACTTACACTCTCAACTGTTTTTCACCTATCCCTATTCCCTAAAGCCTCAGGGGTAGGTGGAAAACAAAGTGATTCGTCTGAAATTGAGGCGAAACGAATCACTTCCATTCCATGATTGAACATGTACTCATAAGGATTTTTGATTTTTCTTTCATTTGTCATACGTCAAAGCGGACGTCAGGCTTCATAATGACGGCAAGCAAACAAAGGAAATTGTAAAGATTAATTCTGTATCCTGGATGTTCACATGGCGAAGAAGTAAGGAACATGAAGGGGGTGTCCTACAANAACTACGTATCGAGAAAAGTGGAACTCGTCCGAGAAATAATCCAAAGGAACTTCGGTCGATGCGCCAGTTGGCGAGAGATGTTGGAATAAGCTCAAGACCAGTGAGTAGGATTGCCAGAAGTAAACATAAGCAGGTCCCCTAGCTGCTGCATCACGGTGGCACCTTTTGAGACATTGTTTTCAGTGATGGAAAGAGTTTCACTACGAAGCAGCCTTTAATTCACGGAATGCACGTTCACCTGCTCATGCTACTGCCAGAGCAAGAAAAGAGCAAACATCCTTGATGCATTATCTTTGGGGGAGAATCACCCCTATGGAAAACCGCACTGGTTTTCGTCGAAGTGACGTAGAAATAAATGCATAGATTTGCAAAAACATCCTCTAAAAGGCTCTCTAGGTCGAGTTCTCACTTTGTAGAGGTCGACTGGTGCCTGATGCAGGATTCTGCTCCAGCTCACGAAGCAAAAATGGGTCAGGATTGAGGCGCCGAGGAATGGCCCGACTTCACTGGCCCGGACACACGAACAGCATTCCAGTTTTCCTGTTTTTCATTCGGGGGATTCGCTGGGTGGTCCATCTCGAGAATGAAGTGTGCTCTACTAGACCCTCAAAATGGAGTCTCTTAAAATAGCGCTTTTGAAATGTTACGAAAAATGATTACCAGAACCTGTACGCCACATCTGAAACGTTCCCGAATTTCTGAAGAATTCTGTGAAGAGAGAGGTAACTATTTTGAAAAACGCTAACATGTTCTGTATCGCCATAATTGTAGTAAATAACATTGGGAGGAAGTGTAGTGTCAAGTGATGCACTCCCGCAAGGACAATGGATCAAATCAAGGATCGATATCTGCCTAGGCCAAGCAGACTTCCATCCCTCCAAGGTCGGTTAATTGGTACCGGATTCGGGGTGATAGAAGCACTGACTCACAGAACGACTGGCCACTCCAATGCATTGTGCACGACACATACCCATCAAATGCTTTACTACGAATTCTGACCGAAAGTCGAATGCGGGGCGCACCCCTCAGACGAGATTGATTAGCGGCAAAGACTGCATCCTTTATCTTCTCAAGTAAATTCGTTGCATAAAAATTTTTTGTTAATCTAATGGTTTTTGGGCTCATCTTCCTGAACTCTTTCAAATAGTTCAAATCTATCGGAAGCGTAACTCAGCCTACCTTTCATCTGTTTCTCTTTTGCCCGTAGATGGTCCTTGTAGCGCTGCACGAAACAGACGTAAGTAAGTAGAGAGATGAGAATGACGACAAGAAGAGCCACAAACGCAATGAGCAGCAGGAGTTGCGATGAAATATGGAAGCTTGATTGTTGGGCCACTGGCATTGGGTTTTCTTGGCAGCGCTGAAAATAGAATTGAGCTTGAGTGGCTAGAAACGTGAGGTAGAGGGTAAGGCGGCTGACCTCGATGTTTATTACTTTGTAGATATGGTAGAGCTTTGAGAGTTCGCTGTTTTCGACAGCCGTCTGTGAGACTGCTGAAATTGCTGAACGCTCGCTCTGTACCTGCTCATTCAAAACTACATGGAAGCAGACAGCCGTCCTGAAAACCAAAGCTTGAAGTTCTTTCAAGAGGATCACTCAGTACAGAATAGCTTTTGCTAGCCTTGATGAGTTCCGCGTGTCCATTTTGGGTTCCGAAAGGAAGACCTGCATCTGCCCCTCAGGATGATCAATCTTGAGAGCTTCTTGCAATTTTCTGAAATGTAATGGGTTAGTGGATTTGCTCTAGGGACCCCTACAATCCACACTCACTTGGAGAATTGCTCACGATTGGATGCGAACTCTTCCAGTTTCATGCTGAAGACGTAGCGCAGTTTCATTTCGTCTTTCACATAGTGGAACTTGAATGATTAGAAGTTATTTCATCAAATAGAGAATAATAAAGCGAAGGTGGCCAGTGTCAAGAGGCGCACCATCACACACACGTGGCCACAGGTTCGATTCCCTGATTGGTATCCGCCCAGATCAACCCAGCCTTCCATTACTCCCGGGTCGGTTGATTGGTACTCTACTCATCTGGGAGAATAAAAGCACTGACTTATACATCAGCTGGCCACCGCAAGTCATTGTATAGGCCACATAATATTCAATGCACCACTACGATTCGGAATGGAAGTCGAATGCAGTGGCGCATCCCTCAGACGGGACAATTGACGCTCAAAAACGTTATCCTTTTGATCTCTCGAAAGAATAATGAGCTGCCGACCTTTTTCACGATGTGCTGTAGCGGCTGTGCAGATTTCGAATGAACAGCATTCGCAACAACACTGTAGACGCCTTGTGGTTGGTCGGCAAGTTGAGGATGTGCACTGATTTCTCCGCCGATCGGATCCACAAAGAACAACGATTCTGTGCTGGTATTGGGGACTCCGGTACCGTTCTGGACGCTGAAAAGTAAAGAAGCTTCTTGAGCCCTATACGGTATACAGTGGGGCAACTCACGGAGTGAACTGCACATGATCGATGGAGTAGCGTAAGCCGTGATCGAGATTTTCAGGGGTGGCTAAAGGAATTGTAGCACCTACCAAGTTGTCATCTGAAAGTAGCCTCTGACTTTCATCTCGAAAAACTTTGGTGGGACTTTCGTTTGGGGTAAGTGCAACTCACGGAGGATCACCACAGTATTGTTCCGCACCCGAGGCAATTGAGCAATAGACGGTTCTTCTTCCTCAAACACAACCGCGGCTCGAAGCATACTAACATTCTTAGCATCGAACACCACATCGTCCACATTAAGGCCGCCGTATCGGCTAAAGAAAGGTCCTTTAAACGATTGCCTAGTGCGTTAGCTATTGACTCATGCTCTGATACTCTAGTTTCAAGGACCTCAAGTGGTTCTCTGGAAATCACTTACGACCATCGCACTAGAGGGATCTTGAATTTGATGAATTAAATTACCGAACGTCAATATTATGAATTTTTGGGAGACGGGTAGTAGGGACGGTTTTGTGAGTCGACCCGCCGCACGCGACTGTCGCAGACCATTTGCCTCGTTACAATAGTCCTAGCGCTCTCCATACAGCTCAATCGCTATGCGACTATTACTTTTGGCATGATTCTACTGTTAGTTCTTTTGTTCCTGCATTTCCTACTTGCTGCTTCATTATGCTACATTCCTTCTCTCTCGTCGCGACGCGACAATTTCGTTCCTACTGCACCACACCCTGAATTTTCTGTTCAAAGGTCGAAATGGTCCAAGTGAGGAAATTCATTCAGCGGACCGGCTTCCAAACAATCAAATAAGCTGATTTGGTAGAGAATATATGTACGTACGGCTACACGCTCTATAGGACCTTATGGTTGTTGTAGGTTACGCGTTTCTCCTCACAAGAAGTCGTTCTGGTGCTAAAAGCGCTCTCAAACGCAACGTTTTTCTACCAGAAGTCATACATATGACACGCTCCCTTGAATGAATTCGGGGAAGTCATTCACATCCGTAACTGGCGCCGGCAGTGACACTATCGCTCTCGAAATGACACCAAGAAAAACGAATTGAGGTCAGTTCCGGAGGTAACACAGTGGGCATATATGACTTGACCTTTCTACAAAATATGTCAATCACGGGCAGTTTGTCATCGAAAATGGTTCTGTCGATTTTGCAATCTTCACCCAACCTTTTTACTACTCCTACATCCTTTTCGACAAATTAAAATCTTGCCTACCAAGAACCAACATTAAATAGAACGGCAGAGCACAGAATAGTTTTCTGGAAATTTGCTTGCACTCATAACTGGTAAGAGCAAATCTTGTCACTCCTTTCCATAGCAGTCAATACAGTACAACCAGCTGTGACGTTACAAAAGTACAAATCATATAATATCGATCGAAAAAAAAAACAAAATTGAGAATTATCATAAATGAATGAGAAGTTTCAAGATTGCGAAGCATGATTTACATGGAAATTGATAGGAATTCGTTTCCCTGCAATGGCTTTCTATGCTAATCACTATGTTCTTTTCCCTGAACACGTATTTGATGCTCTAACCGGACCCCGACCCGACTAGAATATAAGCTTACAATTAACTTTTTCCAAAGTCAAAAGTTGTCGGAGGTTGTATAGCGGTAAGTTGCCCATCATAACCTATCATTACGGTCTAGCAGTGAAACCTTTGTACCGGTACGTCTCTTGCCGATAAAACACTCCTTACCTCCGGATTTTCTACCGGATTTTTCGAGGGAACAGTTGCATCTGACTTGTACATCGGGAAACCCCTCATGACATTCTATAGACCAAATACCTATTCAAACTTTACTTTAAGTGCGAAGTTAAATGCGTGGGCGCATTCCAGAAAAAGGATCAGTTCACCTCAACCAGTTCATTCTTCATCTTTTCAAGTGAGCGTCATCCTACTGAATAAGTGCCAAGTTTCTCAAACAAGCTCCTGTAACCCTAGGGTTCGTCTTTTTCATTAACGCGAATTTGATAAGTGCGAGAACATCTTGACCCCCCACCCCTCCCTTAGTGTTTCTTTTTAGCATACTTCATTGGAAATGTTATTGAAGGCAAAAACAGGGCCCTAACGCACGACATGTTATCTTCGAGATTGTTTCCACTAGCGCAGTTCTCCAGTTTCGAGGCGACCCACTTGACTACTTTTTACGATTGATCGCCTGTCATGAATTCTCGACCTGCCATTGTTGCAATATAGATTGTTCCTCCAAAAGATACTCTAGGTATCAGAAATCATTCCATAGATTCACAACTTTTTACGGAATTCGCCCTTTTGTTTTGAAAATCGATCAAAGAAGGAATTCACAAACCATTGTCATACTGTTGGTTGCGAATCATTGAGTAAGACGGGTACTCATGAAACTGCCAGCTAGGGCTTTTCATCTGACGGTAGCTTTTTCACATCACTCCTTTACCCAAATGGTATGAGAATCGCAGGGCGGAGGTGATGTAGTGGCAAGTGGCCCACTTCATGCACATATGGTCACGGGTTCGCATACCGGCCAATATCCGCCTAGGCCAGCCAAGCCTTTCATTTCTGCGGGTCGGTCAACTGGTAGGATAAAAGCACTCACCTGTGTATACATCGGCCCAAGCAGCACAAGTACGGGTTCCAGTCCGGTCCCAGGCCTAAGTTTTGTCCATAACTCGTCAACCTCGTGAATATTAGAATCAGTCCAAAGACAGAAGCACAAGATTATACCTCGGCTCTACCTCTTACATGGCATCCAAATCATAAAATGTGCTCTGAAAACTGCGAGATGCAAATCGGAGGGTTGACCATGACCATCCTCATCCTTCTATGTAATCCCAGGAATACCTCAGTATTCAGTTGACAATCCCACTGGGAGCTGAACAGACAAAACGCGCGGCGCTAATAGGAGCTACACTCTCGTTGGCAGTAATAAATCATTATGGCTGTCAGAAAGCGGGCTTTTTTCGNCATAACTCGTCAACCTCGTGAATATTAGAATCAGTCCAAAGACCGAAGCACAAGATTATACCTCGGCTCTACCTCTTACAACGCATCCAAATTATAAAATGTGCTCTGAAAACTGCGAGATGCAAATCGGCTGACCATGACCATCCTCATCCTTCTATGTAATCCCAGGAATACCTCAGTATTCAGTTGACAATCCCACTGGGAGCTGAACAGACAAAACGCGGCGCTAATAGGAGCTACACTTTCGTTGGCAGTAATAAATCATTATGGCTGTCAGAAAGCGGGCTTTTTTCGCAATAACAAGAAACCTGTCTCTAGCGAAGTCGACCTCGACTCTACAACATCCTCAAAATGGTGTCGGAGCTGTTGATTTCGAGACCTCATCTCGATGCTGTTTCGTCCAGGTGAGGTCGCAAAATCTCCTTCCAACACCACTGCTCGGGAAAAGCCAACAATTTTTACGAAGCATCTAAAACCCTTTTTAAACAACACTGAAACTTTTCCCCTTTTCTAGGAATTCTGCTCGATCGAGTTAAGATTGTCGTTACAAGCCTTACCCAATCAATAATCTGGAGATGAGCCAGGGAGAGTAAAGAGATTTTGAAGAGTTTAATTCCAATTAACACCTCAGCTATTAGTCATCGTAGATGAATCAGGTGCGAGGTGTCAAACTGAAGGGAACACATACAGTAGGCTGCCATCGGACTGCTATCTGTCAACCATCTCAGAAAAAGGTTGGCTTATAGAGGGTGAAAAGTCGAACGTTTCAGCGTTCAGAGGACACAGTTTGGTTGCGATGCACTTTCAATGTTCTAATGAGAGCCGTAACGACCTTTGTAATAACTACTGACTGACTTGGGCTAATGTCCTTCAATACAAGACTGGTATCAATCAAATGACCCGTGAAGAGAGTCACGGGACAATATGGATTTCAATCATGCAGTGGGGCTTGTAGGCAACGCCACGCCACACACCTTTGCTGTAATTTGTAAGAGTAATCACAGAAATAAGTAGTAGCACATATTCAACAGGCCGTGGAATTCTATAGAGCATTGTGTGAACGAAAAACCGCCTAGATACGGCGCCATGAGGACTTAGAGTCATAAACCAGAAGCGGACGTGTTTTAGCGGCTTTATAGCGCCGGCACCATTCCGAATGGAGCACGTATGTCGAGAAATAGAACATTCGATTGTCCGGGGTACTGACCCATCCCGATGACGGAAAACAATTCATAGAAGCAGGGTACTATGAAATAATAGATTCTCTCGGATTTCTTCACCGTCGCACCATTCTCGAGCAACATTCTTTCTTACGCTTAAGACGGTTCCATGAAATTTGAATTGTCCCTCTAGGAGTTTCTGCTAGTGAAATTTACAGGAACGTCTCCGTGATGACTGATGATTGCAAGGAACAAAAGGAAGATTCTCTATGGTAATTTAGAAAGAATTCAAAGAAGCGAAATGTCCACTTTTTTGAGGTTTATCTATTCAGCGCCGGATTTCCGGTTGACCGATAATTCGCTGCCTTTCATTTTGAATTTTTTTCTCTTAAAATCCTATTTTCATATAATTCCCTGCACAATCTCACTTCGCACTTCTATTGTTTGTATCTGTAATTTCGGTCCCATTGGCCTCGGATCGGAGATCTTAACTTTGGTATCTTAACTGTGTTTCCCGTACCCTTCCCGTGTTCCAGTCCTTCAGGGGCAGGTGAAGCTTTTACGGCTCAAAAGCCTCTACTGCAAGCAAAAAGCAAAAGTTCACGCAGAGTATGACGAAGGTAATAGTAAGTCTGGAGAAAAAATATTACTGTACCCCTTCAGAGTGTCCTTACCCTTCCCACTTCTTAGATGTAAGGTAATTATTTCTGCATTTACACCGTTAAGCATACAGGTATCGGAAACTACCGTAGTCACTTCCAGAGGCCATTGATTGTTTCCTCTTCAATAGGTCAAAATTGGTGGCTTTTTTCGGTTTACCATCTGACCCGAGGAGAAGTTGCATTTCATCCCACAGAGGGCGAATCCAGATTCATTGATATCAAATAACTTTCCTGGGGTAGGCACGCATTAAGTTTCGATTCAATATGCGATTCATCGCATTTTTTTCCGGAACAAGTGAGGTTTCCTCATATGAACGCCCACAAGAAACTGACTCAATAAGTTAGGGCCAGAGAAGTGATTAAAATCACTTGATAGTAGTAGTTATAAAGAGCTCTCGGTGCCAATCTATGCTGCGTAAATTGACTTTCTTCTGCTGGGAAGCTTTTTAATAGACCTTGAAAAGAATCTCAGCATTTTCTTAAAAGTAAGATTCCATAAACCGAAAACAGCGGAAACTCAGAGATTCCCTATTCTTAACGGTAGCAAAAATACCTCGCTAGAAAACATAGTTCCACTCGATCTGGAAGCTTGGATTCTCCAGTAGCTGTGAGACTGACTTCTCCCGTGCTCCCATCCACAGAGAAGTGATCGAATTCCTGAGTGCCTAAATGTTTATTCTGCAGCTTTTCTATTTCCGCGTGCGTTGTGGTTGGAGAAATTGCAGAGCGGACTGTGTAGAGGCCAACATTAGTGTAAAAATAAACTCACATTTTGGCAGAAGGTAGTAATGGAAAACGTCCTTATTCCGTTTAATGGCAGAGACACGCCCTATGACCATATTCGTAGTCTTTGAAGAATGGGGCACAGTGAAGAGCATGGTCGCACCCTGACATGAATTACTTAAGAATGAAGTGATATTGCAGTAAGACAACTCACCCTGGGGAATTCTGGAGGGACATCGTCGACGTCTTCCACGGCGACTCGAAGAACCCTTGATGCGTTTTTACTCGGATCAAACACATTCCATGCGGTTACCACAAGCTTAAGTAGAGGAGCATTACAGTGAACGGATATCTCTCATCTCATGCCAAGCCTTTCTTCCATGCATCGTCTCCCTGATACGCCATATGGGGCAACTCTTCGTCCTTCTGATCGCTTTGTTCCAAGTTTCTTTTCGGAGTCAGCGCGTGGAGTTTCTAAGAGAAGAGAAAGAGAGCATGAAGAATTCTTTATACAACACCCGAAGAATGTAGAAGCTTTGGAAATCATCGCTCGAGTTCGTATTATCTGTCAGAAACTGTATGAAATACAAAAAATAGGTGGCTTAGATGTAGGGATTGGCAAAATACAAGCAATTCACAAATATCATACAAGAACGTCATGGGATTGGTGGCTGATACCATAAATAGAGAGGCCAATGATGTTGAATGAAACAAGAGAATGAGTACGAAGTTTCGAGTAATCGTTGTCGAGCAGCAAGACCGATGTCTGAGGTCGAACTGGTGCTGGTGTGAGTTTCCAGTAGGGTGCATGCCAACTGGGTGTCTCCGCATGTACGAAAGGCATCAGACGGTGATAATACCGTTGATAGACCCCTGAAAAACAAATGTGCCTGGCAAAATAGGGAATGGCGCATGAGATGAAGTGCTGTGGCCCACGAAAACAAACAAACACCATCGCCTATTTGGTCATCCTCTAAAATCAACAACTCTGTGTTCGTTGGACGAGTTTTTCATACCCACGTCGTCGTGAGCATTTGGTCTGCCTATCAACTTGATCGCATTAGTCGGCACAAGGAAGACTCTGAGGGTGGACGCGCCACAGGAGGTCGCTCAGTGGCCATGGGATCATTTGCAACTGACCAAGAGAGCAATGGATTGGTTCTGATGGTAACTGACGCTTTCCGAAAATTGCGACCAAGGCGTGGGAGCAGCTGAGATGCTGAACGAACCGGGAATCGGCTCTGACAAATCTGAGGAAATCTTAACATAGAGCGTGGGAAACAGAAATAACAGNATAACAGTGAAACAGTAATCAGTTCGTTGCTGTCCAATTGATATGGGTAGCTTTAAGACCCCTTGGTAATTTATAGCTTGCTCACTTGGGAGTGCTCCTACGAAATGTGACCGAGCTATAATTTTCCTGATGATTTCCCGCATCGTTAACCGCCATGATTAAGTTAGAGGCTTAAGATCGCGGAGTCATGAAGCCTGTGACTCAGCTTGTGATCTTGGGCTCTTCTGGGATGCTCTCAGAGAAATTTCAGTTCCCCCCTCCTCATATGAGGGGAAGCTCAAAGAATCGCATACCAAAGTGCGTACTCGTTTTCCTATAAAAATTTCCTTTTCTGACTGAGACTTTCCTTGACTTTTTAAACTGAGATTTCTCCGAAAGCATCCCAGATTTTCCTTCGTTGGTGACCCAATTACTTTTAACGTATATTTACGCTCTGAGCTGCTTGGCAACAACCCTTTCATCCTTCTCTGGGATGCTCTCAGAGAAATCTCATTATTCCCGGGTTAGTCCTTCTACAGGAGGTTTGCTCAAATCAGTTTTGTATGTTGTAAAGAGTTCAAAGTGCTAGAATACAGTTGTTGGTGACCCAATTACTCCCTAAATTACCTACACCCCACGAAGGATACTTCTTGTGGCGATGGTGCTTGTACGCTCGTTAGTGGAATGTTCGGTGGTTGAAGGAAAAAAAGTAAATAGTTGTGACCTTGTACTGCTTGAAGTTCATTGTCGTTGAAGATGTTTTCTTCGGTCCTCGCCTCAGCCATTCGTATGGGTAGTGCCTCTCTGGATCCTTGCAGGTAGAGAATTCTGCGGTTATTTTCGAGAAGTGAGCGCAGCATTTGCTGCTTCAGACTGAAACAAAACAAACAGTCACACAAGAGCATGGCGCAGAAGCGATTCCACTGACACTAGCTCCTGCTTCCTGCATCGTTTTGCCAATGGCACGGAGAAGTGTAGCTCAGAGGCGATGACCAACATTTTTCGGCCAACAAACCACCGGTCAAACTCGGCCAAAATGTCGTCGAGGAGCACTGCTAAACCGGCATGTGCCGCCTCGAATACACATGTTACACATTTGGATTTGTAGACGTTTCTGCTGAAGAAAAGAGCACGGTTCAGTGTCGGCATCGTTTTTAAAGAAAAGAAATGAAGCAGGTTAACACTGAGAACCTTAGGAACGATTCCATTGTCTCGAATACTTGCGTGTCGTGAAGCCGAAGTCCAACGTTGGACGTGGCCCAGACATCTCCATGTGAAGCATGGAATCGCTTCCTTGGTGTGGATCGTTTTTTATACAATGGCCCATGGGGTCGCTCGAGACTGGGAGACCTTCAATGTGAGCAGTTCATTCGCGGATCATCAAGCACAGTCGGGTTACATAATTTGATCGTTCCAGTGCGTAATGCAAACGACAATGTGTTCAGGGACACACTCCATGGTGTCGACCCACCTTTGCTGACGAAGAGTCTCTGAACTGCTTGAAAATTCCAATGGCGAGTTGGTCAGATAACCGCTCTCACGACTGAGACATAACTGACAGAAAAGAAAGATGCTGCCAAGAGAAGCTTCAGGGGAAGCACAAAGAAAGAACTCACCTTATCAAAGTCGCTGTTTTTCAGCCGAGGAATAGAAAGCTGTGGAAGAGAAGAAAGGAAGGAAAACTGATCCATGGGCTGTCGCAATTCGAGGTTGTCTAGATCGGTTACGGTAGAGCTGTCCGAAGGTGGCGTCGACTCAGCGATGATCAAGTTCTGTAGAGATCTGAGTCGGGCATAGGCGTAGAGTCTCACCAGAGCCCGAGAGAGATCCCTCGACCGGCAACTGTCCCGTGAAGGCGTTGAGTCACTCTTGTGACGATGTCGAGTCGAAGGCGACACGTTTTTCGCTTTTGCTGTTTTGTTGTTCAATGCGACGACGTCGTCACAAGGCAACGACGACGAGCTTTCGTCTTTTTTTGAGCGGCGCTCCCTGCGTCGTCCACCGCCAAGTCGACGCCATAGTCGAGCGATCCGTCGCTCTAGCTTGTCCATACTCACACTGGCCCTCTGTCAGATTGAAAGATAGTGACCTAAAGACAAACACAACATACAAATCATGGCAACGAAAACAAAGAGCTTAGAAGACCTGTTGAGCTGGCGTGAGACAGGGGTTGGATGAGTAGGGCGGGGGCAGCACCCACTCTCCAGTTCACGTTCTCCAACTGAAAGCTCTGAGTTCCGTCATAAACCACGACATTATAACGGGATCGGCAAACAAATACGAAACTAAGCAAGAGCAAAATCAACAAAACGAAGGTAAAAGGAGGACGATCGAGTTGGAGGGCTCTATAGAATGACTCAGTGTTTGGGGGTTGCGTGGTGTTTGTCCCGGCAGGCCTGATCATAGTCCATTCCAGGATGGCACAAGAGAGGGACGGCGGTCTAGAATGTTCTTCGACCTAAGGACATTGCGGTTCACTGGTGATTACGGCTGGAAAGAGCCTCGAAAAAAGCTTAAAGTTGGCGGAAAGGTAAACAGAAAAACGCGTGTAAAATTTGTTTGCCGAAGATAAGATCTTCGAAATCAACCACGCACTGCAAACATGGACGAGATGGTAGACGCTTGTAGGCTAATCAGACCCCTAATTAATCCGATGAGGGACTTAAACTGTAGGCTTTGTTTTTTCTCCTGTACGGAGAGGTCACGGAAATCACGAATTTTGGGACCTTCAGAGATTTGGGGGGAAGAAGAGAGATCTCAAAGTTTAGGGGTGGCAAACAGAGCTGATATAATCAAGTTCCTAAAGTAAACAACCGATAAGCAAAATAGAGGCTGGGTTGGAAGCGGAAAGGTAAAAATGTAGGTGGAACAAGGAAAGAGAAGCGATAACGGAGGGTCGGAGAGTGTCGGCTGAGGACAGTTATGTGCTTTTTGCTTACTGCTGATGGCTCCGACGGAGATTGAGGTGTGCGCGATTATTCAAGGAGACGACTGCTGGACACCTCAGAAAAAGGGATTGGACGAAGGCAATCGGACGACTCACGAAGGGGGAGGGATGATTCTTTCAGTATGAGTTCCCGAACAGTCCGTTGCCTTTCGAGATGAGTCGAGATAGCACCGAAGCAATCGGAAAGGGGTTAGGTCTAGCGACAGCAGAACAAACAAATCTGAACATCTCCAATCAAACTCCAATTATCAGCAGCAGTTCAGACGAGCAAACACAACACACGAAATCAATGATGCAACAGTTCAATGACGGTATTCAATGAGAGATGGTTCGGGTGTGCCTCGGAATTATCGATATTTCAGGGTGATTGCGTTTGTCAGGAAAGGTGTTGGAGACAAAAATGACCATTTTACTCTTAGAAGGGAAAGTTTCGAGTAGCGAGAGGAAAAGAAGAAGGAAGGGAATGTGAGACCTTCAAGATGCGAACCAATTCATCAAGCTAATTCACGGGGCCGGAAAAACCAGGACATATAAATATCTTCTGAGGAGGAGAAAAAACCTTAAACTATCCAGAACTGCTTTTTAGCGAAGAACCAACCGGACCAGTCATAGGGGGATAGTTAACGGGGAACGACGACGGTATCGACGGTCGTGGCAGCAGCGCTGGCCTACCTGCCCACAGTCTGACGGGTATCGACGGTCGTGGCAGCAGCGCTGGCCTACCTGCCCACAGTCTGACGGCGGGTCGTCGCGGTACCGCGAAGTGTTCACAAAAACAGAATCCGCCCATCAATGCTGACACTTCCCGTCATATGCTATGTGACATTTGTTGAAAATGTGCGAAACTCGTCCCCTAGCTGAGGATCCCAAACCGTATCGGATAAATTGGGTTGATTGATCTGCACGTTACGGGCTTACGACATTCAGAACTTCAGTAATTAACATTTAGCCACAATATTATAGATAGAACCACCAGTAAGAATAAACTGCAATAAATTTTTTAAGAAAATTACATGGAATGTTTGATGCCTGATAACTGGGAGGGCTATAAATGTTTTGTAACTATTACTTGGAGCGAAAAATTGATAACAAGCTTGGGAGAGTTACTTGCGATGTCATCCAACGGCTAGGGAGATGAGGACATCGTGCAGCCCCTTGGGAAGGGGCATGCTACCCAAAACGGACTCATAACGCTTTTGGGCTCATCCAGCCGTGAGTACCAATCTG